AAAACGTTGGGAACCTCTCTTTTATACAGAATGATTAAATAGGGAATAATTCAGAATTACCTCCCTATATATGTGAGGTTTATTAAAAAAATAATTATGTATGATGTCTGGGGGGGGTTCTTGAATGTTTTATATGACATTGTTAGCTGAAAAACTGCAAACTGAAGGCAATCAATAAACAGTATCAATTTAATATGTCTTAATCAATTTTCCACGGTTTGTCATTTTTCTTTTATAGCATCTCTTTATTTTGTTTAATAAATTCTTAAAATGATTAAAAAAGACCTGATTTGGTAAAGTTAAGTATTTCATGACGTCAGTAAAATAAATAAAGGCCAAATAGTTTTCAAGAAAAAGAATAAATGCAACAGATAAAAGAAAATATTACTTCAGTTTTCTTTTTACTATTTTTTTATATTCCTATTAATATAAAAACTATTCTGAGTTTCATAAAGAAATAATTTTATTTATAGAATAAAAGATATGGCAATCTTTAACTGTTGTGCTTGCAAAATAAATGGTGTCTCAAAAGGACAGCTTTTCCCTTGACACCACTATTATTTTAACTACCTTCACTCCTCAGCAATGTTTGTTTTAAAAAGCAGTGATTAGAATTTTGGCAAACATGGATAAACATCTCCACAATAAGATGGAATGACAAAATGACTCCCCCTCCATGACACTGCTTTTTTTAAACACTTTCACTCTTCAGCAATGTTTATTGTTTTAAAAAGCAGTGATTAGAATTGTGATAAAACCTCAACATATGAAAGTGAATTATACATTTTTTTTCTGTTCTTGAAAATTTAAAACTATTTATTAGATTGTTTATTTACACTGTTATATTTATTTATTGGAATGGTTGGCAAAACATTGGCTAATTGCCAATTGATTCAAACTTTATAAAACGGTAAATAATAAGGATTTCCTTATAGTTGGTTCACATATTTTAATAATCTAATAAATGTTTATAAATTTATGCATAAAAAAATTATTTTAATTTTTTTTTTTTTTTTCAAATTGTAAATAATAAATATTGCATCATATTATTTAGAATGTTGAAAATATAAATTTTTTTTTTTTTTTTTTTTGTAAATAAACAATCTGACAAATAAATGGAGGCATGGTGGAGTAATGGATATCGTCTCGGATTGAGGAATCGGAGAGCCGAGTTCGAATTCCAGTTGAATCCATTACATTCACTTATGTGCTAATACTCTTGTGAAAGGTATGTATCCTCTTCTTTTCCCCCCAGCTATGGGTAAATAGCTGGACAGACTGGGTTCTATAGCCCTGGTCTACCGCAGAAAGAAATGGCAACCTGCTGTGGGAAAAAATCTACCTCATCTGTCATGTATCGAAAGATACATGATCGCCTAATCATGTATCACTGACTGACTGAATAAATAAATAGTTTAATATTTTTGTTGTCTATTCTCAAGAACAAAAATAAAATGTATAAATTCACTTTCATCATATGTTTGTTTTATTCCAATTCTAATCATGGTTTTTTTTTAATACAATAAACACTGCAGAAGAGCGAAGGTACTTAAAAAGAGGGGGGGGCCCTAAGAAGAACCATTTTTTTGACACTATGTCTTATTACGGGCACATTTATCCATGTTTGCCAGAATTTTGATAAAACCTAAACATAGGAAAGTGAAATTCTACATTTTCTCCGTTCTTGAATGATTCATTCATTTTTTATGGCTTATCAACCCTTTGAAAGTTATTTAAAGCCAGAAAATATTTTTAGATTGTAAGAATTTTGCAGGGAGGTAATAATGGTTTGGGATACAAGTCTTACTATTTAACACATGGGGGAGAAGAGGTGGATTCATACCTTTCCCAAGGGCATTTGTGTGTAAGTGGTCACCCATCTAGCTGCTGCCCAGTCTCAACATTGCTTATCCTCAGTGATCATATGGGAACCGCCGTTTCATTGTGAAGTGTCTGTAAATCTCTTTGTTCTTCAGAATTGACAATTTAAGATAATAAACTGTATTTGTTTATTTATACTATTTATTACATTGGAAATTGGAATGGTTGGCAAAACATCGGCTAATTGCCAATCAATTTATTTAAAATTTATAAAATGATAAATAATAAAGATTTCCTTATATTTGGTTCACATATTTTAATAATTTAGTAAATGTTTATAAATATATGCATAAAAAATAGTTTCATGTTTATTTCTTTATAAATTGCTAAATGATAAATATTGCATCGCATTAGTTTTTAATACAATTCTATTAGTTTTCGGAATGTTGTAAATGTAAAATTATTCTAATAAATAAATAGCATATAATGTTTTTGTTGTAAATTCTCGAGAACAAAAATAAAATGTATAAATTCACTTTCATCATGTGTTTCGGTTTTATTACTATTCTAATTATTGCTTTTTTAAAACAATAAACATTACCGAGGAGTGAAGATAGTTAAAATAATAGCAGTGTCAATGGAAAAACCATCCTTTTGACACTTCGTTTTGGGGGTGGGGGTGCATGAACATTAAAGATTGCCAAAAATATATTCCTACCATATTGGTTATAGAAGGTTAAAAATGATTATTTTAAACATAAATGAAACCAGTTTCTACATTTTGGCAATTTTGTGATTTTTTTTTTTTTTTTTTTTTTTTAAGTGGTTGTTGCAGATTAATTGCTATTATTTGACCTATGAACTTGTTAATAGTAGGAATATACCTGGCTATACTCAAAGGTGTTTTATGTCATTTTAAGTATAGAATAAGTTATTTTTTCCCAAATTCTGTTAATTAATCTTTAATTTCACTAATTTTCTTTAAGCTAATATCTAGTACAAATATTTGTTTTTTTCATGGGTTTTTAAAGTTGTAAGTTTTTCTGTTGAAAATGGCAAATTGATGCAAAATTGACGGTAAAATTATTTTTCTTTGTTTTCTCTATTTTTGTGGATTAGTTTTAGGTTATTATTTTTCAAACAGAAACAATTTTATGAAAATGGACACATTTAAATTATTTTTAATGTTTATTTAGCTCAAATTTTGACTGCAACTAATTTATTTCAGTTATCACTACTTTTCTGTAAGTAAAAACTAAAATTTAATTTCATCTCCTTGGAAAATTTACATAGGAGTCTTAATTTTTGCCCAATAAGTAAACAGAAGCAGGAAAAAAAAAGGTCTTTATTTTGGTTTTTAAGAACATTTTCCCACTGCATAAAAATCACTGAATTTACTTAATATTTTTTTTTTTTTTTGCTTTACATACAATTTCTTCTTATAAGATGGGAAAAGTTTATTACTTCAAAACGTTTTTTTGTTTTTTTTTTGCATAACAAATACTGAATTACCTGAAAAGACATTGGCATTTGAGGCTATTTAAAAAAAAGGAAAAAAAAATAAGGAAAATGTAAGGGAGGTAAATCAGAAATCGTTTAACATATTAAACAGAAATAACAAAGAAATAGCTGTAAGGGAGGTTGTATTGTGACTATTTTTTGTGAAGTGCAAACCTTTAAAATCACCATTATTCTAAATCCTGGCTTTTTCCAGGCAGCCATTATTGCGTGCGCTTGGCATAAATTGTCTTTCTTATTTTTACGTTTATTTTAAAGCATACAAAATTAGCATGGTTGTTAATACAAGAATAAATTATTATTTTTATTATTAATAATAATAATTTTAGTTTTTTTTTTTTTTATATATATATATATATATATATATATATATATATATATATATATATATATATATAGCTAATATTAGTGGTAAATATACACATACATATGCAAAATATATAAATATATATACATAGGTGCATACACATACATGTATATTTTTTTAATAAAAAATTCCAAGAGGATAGAATCCAGGTAGAACTCAATGTCCAGGACAGAGTAAGGATATAATAAAAAGGCTTAAGCACTAATATTAGTGTTTAAGCCTTTTTATTATATATATATATATATATATGTGTGTGTGTGTATGTATTTGACAGCTTAGAAAATATAATTTTATTTAAATCTGTACACAAAATAAATTTTAATTTCTGACAGTATTTGTATTTTTTCTTTTATTCCTGATGGTGATACATCAAATTTTTTTTTTTTTATTTTTATCTTTCAAATTCTGAAATTTACTGGTTACAAATGTTGAATTTAATTTTAGTTTTTATGTGCAGAAAAAAATAGCTGAAATAAATTAATTATACTCCCTTTCAAATGCTACTTTTAGCATTTTATTTAGAATGCATGACTTCCCATATTGCTTCTCAATCCTCAGACTGTTACCAACCAGAGCACTTTTTAAACTATGGCAAAGCCTGGTCCTGGAGATTCCAACTTTGCTGCAGCAGCTCCCACATTGCACTAAATAGGAAGGGTTGGTGGATACCGACCCCAATCTCACTGTGGTTGTGGCAAGGACGGGTCAATTTTGTCCTTGTCTCATATGTTTATTTACTGGCATCCCATATAGAATGTGACCCAGTCAGGTTTATCATAGTGGTTTGATAGGTAAATAAAGAGGGTTCTTGGTATGAGTCTCAGTCAAGAAATTTACATAAGATGTAAGGGAGATAATTCTGTATTTGGTATGTAGAAATCATTTGAAACACAACCTTGCTGTCTGGTAAATTTGAGAGATAATATTACTGTGATCTCATGCATGCTGAAGCAAGGATCACAGTACTTGCACCTATGAAATATAATTCAGCTTCATTAACCAATACAACTTGGAAAGGTATTTGTTGATAAAATCAACAAATATGACACAAGGCTTAAAAATGAGAAGTGCTGGTCATTCCTTGTCCTGTCATTTAACCTAGCTAGTCATAATCACTGACCCGGGGCACTTCAGTGTGGTACAATGGTTAACAAGCTTGTCTCACTGGATCAATTACAACTGAGTTGCAAGTTTGATACTCACTGAGTGCTCCACACTTTTGGCCTTGTGCCACATCTAAAAAAAAAATGCCATAATCACTGACCCAATCTTATCACAGGCTTACAGCCGCATCACGTTGAAACACCAGTTCCCGTATGATCACCGAAGTTAAGCAACATCAAGTCTGGCCAGTACCTAAATGGGTGACCGCTTAAGAATACCAGGTGCTGTAATCTTGGATGGGCAGGTGGGGTAATCAGAATTGTTAATCAGGAAGCCAAGTTCCAATTTCCATTGGGTTCGTTATATTCGCTTACATGCAAATACCCTTGGGAAAAGTATGAATCACCCCACCCCCCAGTCTTCTTCCCCTGCCTATGGATTAATTAATAAGACTTGTATCACTAAAACCGTTATTATCTCATAAAATAAAATTACGTACAAAATATTTAGATTTTGACATTAAATAACCCATAGAGGTGTTGATAGGCCACTAAACAAAAATAACCAACCAACATTTCCACAACTTGTTCGACTACACTCACCATACCTTAATTTTTCTCTATGGAGTCCTAACATGTATACATTTTTGTGGAGGCGGTTGTATGAAAATAACAACTTTTAAAAATTTAAAAAAAAAAAAAAAAACGATAAAGGGTAACAAATATTTACAAAAAACCAAAATAAAAAAATATTTTTTAGTTGTAGAAGCCACCTCCTGCGATCTTAATTGTAGCAAAAATCGAAAATGTGGGATTTAACCAGTCAACAAATTATATGCATACTCCTACAAACGTGCTCATTCTCACACAATAACAAATACAACTAAAATACTATGACAGTTATTGATCAGTGAACCTTAAATATGGCCCAAGGCCTAAGAATGGGGAGCACTAATGATTCATTGTCCTGTCATTTAACCTATCTAGTTACAATCACTAACCCAATCATTTGATAATTTTCTTTTTACCAAAAGATCACATTTCCACAGCTAAAGTCACAATATTGCCACAATTTATCTGTGGTGTCCAAACCTGTACCAAATATGCAATTTTTTTGTCGGAGGTCTGGAGCCAGATAACGATAACAACTTGTAAAAATTTATCCCTAATGCATGTTTACAAGGAAGCGAAAACAAATGATTGTTTGGATTAAAAGACCCACACCCACCCCAGTCCTAATCATGGCTGAAATAACAGCTATCTGAAAATATCTGGGACACAAACAGTAAAATAAATCACTCATACAAATGTAAATTTTTGTTCATTTTAATTTAAAATTTGTATCTGTTCTTTATTTAAAAGAAATCTTTTTGTAAAAAGAAAAAAATGTCTGTTAACTCTGCATTTAAATTCAATTTTCTTGGGAGCTTTGAAGTAATAAAAATATGCTATTCTGCTTTCACAATTGAATATGTGGTAGTTGATACACATCTTTCGTGCATATACATGTTTGTGGGAACATATAATTCCTAGAGGCAGTGTGTTTTATATTGTAGTTTTGTTGAAGTTATATTTTGCAATACAGTTTGATTCCTTTAAGAAATTGTAGGATTTTATATGGATTAATGTTATAAAAGTTTTTTCATGTTGATTGATGTTATGTTGGTAATTTTTTATATATATAATCTTACTTATTATAAAACTCAGGTTGTGTGTGTGTGTGTGTGTGTGTGTCTCTGTACGTTTATATATTGGATCGGATTTCCTATATTTTTCAACCGATTTCAACAAAACTTCACAGGACTACGTAAAATTGCCTTGCGGTGGTTCTGACAGCACCAATAATTGGAAAAACACAATTGTTTTTGCACAAAATCAATTTGAAAACATGATTAAGAAGCATTAATGAAAGGGGAACAACTCATATCGAGTTATTGAGTTATACTTATTATAAAACCCAGGTTGGTTGTGTGTGTGTGTGTCGTTTATATATGAGATCGGATTTCCTACATTTTTCAACCGATTTCAACAAAACTTCACTTTTTTTTTTTTTTTTTTGGCAGTTAGTGTTTGTTATTGTCTTGCACACTTTTTTCTTTATTTTTACATTCAGAATGCTTTAAAAATTCCATTTGCAAGACAATTGTTTATAATAAAATTCTATTCAATCGGTAGACTCATAACGACTGAAAACAATGGGTTTGACCAATTCGTAAAAAAAAAAAAAAAAAACTAAACAAAAAAAGACTAATTAAGACGTGTGTCCGTCAACCTTAAACAATAATCTTTGTCAATTTTATTTTTCAGTCTTTATGATGGTCGATACTTGATCTATCTCTTACTGTTACATCCCCGGGCAACACCGGGCTCTACTGCTAGTTTACTATAAAAATACATTTTTATACTTTCATTGGGTTTTGCTTTTGTTTGGCTGATCCATTATTATTATTATTATATTTTTTTTTTTTTTTTTTTTTTTTTTTAAGTATTGCTGATAATTTTTTCTTCAAAAATTATTACTGGTAATATTTTTATTACAAAGTATTTCTAGTATTAAAACCTATTTTTACACGAGTTTGGGTGTTAACTATTTGCCCATAGCTGGGACCCTAACAGTAATCATGGACCTGTGAACAACAGCAATTATGAGGTGGTTCGACAAAACATCCCATCTCTCGATCAGAGGCCTTGCTGCCAGATGTATTTTATGTCATACGTGTCTAGATTTCTGAGATGAGGTATTATGTACATTATTCGGACTATTGTCCTCATCTTTGTCACCATATTTATTAGAATGTTGTTGACCTTCTTCAGGTGATTGGAATGTTGAACTGAACCCTTTATTTCACTCACTGGGGTAGACTGTTCTAGTTCCATGTGCCATGTTTAATGGATGTCAGTTATCAGTTATCTCCTGTTAATTTCCCTCTGAAAGTTCTCCACTGCCTTAACCGGGTATTGAACTCAAACTCTTTGGATCCTGTCACTGGATCTAACCAATGCCTTTATCCACTGTGCCATGTGTTCTTGAGGACGTGTCATGTTTAATGGATGTCAGAGGACATCTGTGTATGAATTTCTGGGTATTATAAACCTAATGTCTACAGCAACCATTTTTATCAGTACTCATATTGCAATTTTGCTGTTATCATTGCATGTTTTTACCATTGCAACTTTGTTGTTATCATTGTTTTTCTCTGGCACTTCTTATTACTGGTTCCCATATTGTATTTATTTCTATGCTTGGTCGGCTCAGGAGATTTTTGTGGCCTAGCATATGTGCTACAAATTTTCCAATGGTATTCCTTGTCTATGATCTCAACATGATCCCACAGAGGACGGTGATCTCCCTTCTCTCTCCATATGTGGTCATCCACGCCTGAGTTCTCCACTTCCCCTTGTGTTACAGCTTTCTGGTGTTCTTGAAGCCTTACCTTGAGGGGGCGGCCTGTCTCTCCTTTATATTCCTTTCTGCAGCTGCACGGGATAGCGTACACACTACAAAGTGTACACCAGTGAGCAGAATAAAGGGTTCAGTTCGACATTCCAACCACCTGAAGAAGGCCGGAGCGTACAGTGGCTGAAACGTTGTAATAAATATGGCGACAGAGATGAGGACAATGTAAATAATATCAAGATTATATATGAAACCCCTTTTTCATAATGATAAAAAGCAAAATTTTCTCATTCTAACAAATGAAGGTCCCCAAATGTTTTTCCATATTTTTTTACAAGTGGACCAGTTTACTTAAGTAGTTCTGATTATGATGGATATTGAATAACAAAATTTGTTTTCCTTTTCTACTTACAGATTTGTCCAAGTTCGTTGGCAAAGGAAAAAAATAAAACACCATGATTCTACACCCTTTGTTGCTGTAATCAACAAGAACTTCTGAACATCGTCAGATCACCACTTGTTAAAGTTGTGTCAGAAAACATAACAAAGATTAGAAGAGTTGTTTTTGTGCGATCAAACTTCTTTGCTACCAAGGAAAGAGAACACTTTGATAAGACCAAATATCAAAACTTTTTTTTTTTTGTATTGCTTACAGTCAATCTCTACAAATGGAGACAACCAATGCAATTGACACTACAAGCAAGGTATCAGCATCTCCTAATTCTGCTGAGAAGGCTAAAATAATTACTTGTAGCGTGTGCATGAAGACATTTCGTTACAATTCGCATCTGAAGCAACACATGAGAACGCACACTGGAGAAAAACCTTTCAAGTGTGAAATTTGTAAATCGCGTTACCCAAGTAGTTCACAACTTATAAGCCATGTGCGAACACACACTGGAGAAAGACCCTTTCAGTGTGAGATCTGTGGGGCAAACTTTTCATTTAGTTCAGCTCTTAAAAGACATATGCAAACTCACACGGATGAAAAACCTTTCCAATGTGAGGTATGTGGGGTAAATTTTTCCAAGAGTTATAACCTTAAAAGTCATATGCGCACACATACTGGGGAGAAGCCATTTCACTGTGACATTTGTGGGTCAAATTTTTCCTCAAAAACATCTCTTAAAATCCATTCGAGAAGGCACAGTGGAGAAAGACCCTTTCACTGTGAGATTTGTGGCTTAAAGTTCCCAGGAAACTTTATTCTTAACAAACACATGAAAACGCACACTGAAGGAAGACAGTTCCATTGTAACGTTTGTGGAGCAAAATTTGCAGAAAATTCCGTTCTGAGAACTCACATGCGAACGCACACAGGTGAAAAGCCCTTCCTTTGTGACATTTGCGGATCAAATTTTTCTGTGAAGTCAAGTTTGAAAGAGCACATGCGTACGCACACTGGTGAGAAACCCTACCACTGCGACATCTGCAGTACAAACTTTTCTGCATACTCAAGTCTGAGGAAGCATACGCTAATACATACCGGCGAGAAACCGTTTCCGTGTAATGTTTGTGGATCTAAGTTTTCACAGAGCTCTACTCTGAGGACACATATGCGGACACACACTGGAGAGAAGCCCTTCCCTTGTGACATTTGTCGTTTGCAATTCTCACAAAGTTCTAGTTTGAAAAGACACGTGCAGAGACACCATGGTGAAACTCTCCTTCCATTATCAGAACAGTGAATCATTACTATGTTTTTGTTTTTTTTTTCTTTTCTAATTTAGTTCTTTGCTTAATTTTTTCTAAAATATTTTATTGTAACCATAAAAATATTCCGTCATGAACATTGCACAACAGAAACTGCCATTTATCTATGATGTTAGCACCAATAGTTTTTACTCTTATTGTTCAAAGAGTTGTTGAGAAAATTGAACTTGTTCTATTCTTCT